ATTAGCTTTGAACTTAACCATTTTTTATCACTTTCTTTTACAAATTATGCATGTACTTTGCCTATATGACTTATTATACTTTTCATGCCTTTTCCTTTGATATAGAAATATAAGTTATGCAGCTTGCACTTGTGTATGATTGGCTCTTTGTGGACAATATTTGACTGCAGATTTCAAGAGTGGCCAAGGTGCCGGCCCTGAACTGAATTTTGACAAAATGTGACTTGTTTAGGGTGAGTGTTTCTTGCATGTTTGTGTATTAAATGACTGTGTACTTATTGTGAATATTCGATTGAGTGTTAAATGCCTTCCAATGCCTGTTAAATGCATTTTCAATGGTCAAGTGTGTAGTTTATCGCACTTGATCTAAGTGAAAGTGAATTTTCAAATGATCAATTGATTGAGCATTACTTGTACATGAATGTAAGTTATGTGGACTGTATGGTACCACATTGGTTGAATTGGGCCATTGTCCTTCATTGTCAGTTGACTCGAGCCAGAAATGGATCCGATCGGGTGACTGGTGACTCTGGAATAATGTTTGGTATACTCGAGTATGACCACGAAGGTTGGTGGAGAACTGACCAGTGAATTGGTTAGTGGCGGGAAATGAAATCAATGAATGAATGTCAAAAATACTGAAGGAGTTTTCACTTGCAAATATTTTCTAATATTGGAGGGATAAGGAAAATGGTTAGCGAATGAATAAACGAATGGCTCCACGTGAGCATGTACCCTTTTAATGAGTGTGTTCTCATTACTTTTATATTGTGAATGTTTTCTCGATTGATTGTTATTAAATGACTAATGTCCTTGTTTCAATTGCTTAATTAATGTGTATGAGAACCTCACTGAATTTTAACTCATCTCTCTATTCCGTTTCATTTGTTTTCCTTACAGGGTTTGAGAGCAAGGACGAGTGATTAGAGAAAGACTAAACTTTTGACTAGAACTTTTGTTATGTAATAGTGATAGTATTAGTAGTTGGTTGGATCCTGAACTTTTTGTACTTAACCTTGAGGATTGTATATCTGTGTTAATGTTTGTATATATGTTAAGTTTGATTGCCATCTTTACTTGCTCTTGAGAGTTGATTGAGTAAGTTAACGAGTCCTAACGAGAGTTGGACAGGTAATCCTCCAAACCCTTGGGTACACCCTAGGGGTGAGGTGGGGTTGTCACACTAAGGATCCGCATGCAAATTCAATTTGATTCAAGTCCAATCTAGGCATGCGAAGAGGGATGAGTTTGATGGTATAAGAGGAGGGAGTGTAAATAAAGGGTTTCAGATTTGAAACCTCCCACTTATCAACAGATTAATAATTACATAAAGTCTCATCCAAGCATGGATCATGTCCAGACAGGTGACTGATCACAGAATCGAATCTGCACCTTGGATCCGCTCCTACGGAGAGTGGATCTGCGTGTGGATCCTTAGAGACTTGGTCTCAAAATTGCGGTTCCGCTTCTACGGATATTTGGATTTGCTCGCAGATCTTGACAACATTTAGAAACTTCTAAACTTTGTTTTAGCACCTTTTCATGTGTGAATTTAATTATTTTAATCCAAAAAGATGTTTGAACATCTAAGAAAGAGTATGAATGTGTGTGCTTCTTATGAAAACATTATTGTTTCTTTTTATCCAAACAACATATCTCTTAACAAATCAACTAATTATTAACCATTCATCATTTTCGTGAGAAAATTAGAATATTTGATATCTCATTTTCTCTAAATTTTATTATATCTTAAATGTAATTTGCCATAACTCTGTAGTAAATATTTTGTATAGAGAGAGCAAATGTCACTTTAAGAACAGTGTCAAACACACCTCAAGATTATCATTTTCATTATCACTTTCTTTGTGAAATTTATGTAATACAAATTTTTGCATTTTTGTGTGCTTGTTGTACTTTGTGTACCACCTAACACCAACAAGAAACACACAAACTTCATTTATGTATGATATCGTGTTGGGCACTATAAAGCACACAAAGTTCATTTCTGTATGATATCGTGTTAGGCACTACAACATGTAATTATGTAACCCTCGACCAAGCTCACAAAATGACTGAATGCTCAATAGGATCGATCATTACCGTAGACTGCCTAATCATCTTATAATTATTTTCACTATGTAAGGCGAGCATTGCCATAGACCACCTAATAATCTTAATATTTTTGCTGTATCAAGGCTTTCTTCAACAAGAAATTTTATCTCGTTTTAGGCATAAAACTCTAAACAAATCAAATCAAATTCAATTTCATTATTTTTCGAGCTGGGTTCAAAGTTTTAAACTCATTGAATTTGAGCTTGAATTGATAAGAAGAGAGATTCTTTAAGTTGATTAATCATATAACTGTGAGATCTTTGATTCAATTTTTAATTGCTTTTCCTTCTCCCTTTCTCCTTATAAGGTTGGAATCTCCTGTAGAATTAAAAAAAGGGATAATTTCACAAACCTCCCTGGAGGTTTTTAACAATTATAGAGAGCTCCTCTTAGATTTTAAAAATGACATATACCTCCCCTACTTTTAATAGTTTGTAACAATGTAGGTTCAACAAGATAGGTTTTCTCGCAAAAATTCTAAATTGCCCTTTTGTACAAAACTAAGAAAGAAAAATATAGTATACTTAATCATTTTCTTCCACACTTTGCATAAATCAACAAGTCTAATCCCTAACAATCATTCAAACATAAGTTCTAAAACCAAACAGTCATTTAAAAATTTTCAAATTACATATACAGTATCAATGCTTGCCACGCCAAAAAAAAAAAAGAAAAAAAATACACATATAAACCCCATTGACAACCAGTTGTACCCCAAAATTAAATGTCAATGCTCAAATATTTTTTCAATACAAGCTAGTGTGAATTAGAACTACCATTATAACCCTCTTATGGCCTTGAAAATATTAATATCTCAAACTAGAGAATAAATTCTACCTCCATAATAATATCATAATAAAAATTTCTAATCCAATGAAAGAAATTCTTATGTAATTATTGACATTTTATAAAGATTTTCTTGACAAGAAAAAAAAGACAAATTCTACATCTTTAGTTCTTCTAATTTCATCAATTTCATTATTTATTTTTGCATCACTATGAGTCTCTTTATTTTGTTCTAATTTGACACATAATCTGCTCTTTCTGTTGATTTTGTAATTTCAATTTGCTAATATCCATAAAATTTAAAATAATAAAAAGATGTTATATTAATTAGAAAAGAGAGGAGAAAAAATAGATAAGAGACAAAAAATGGACTTTTTTTTGGATTTTGTAAATTTATTGCCTTAAATTTAAAATTATTTACCAAGTGGAGGGCATTATAGGTATTTTACTATGCCAAAGAAGCTAAGTGTAATTTTTTAAATCTGAAAGGAATCGAGTGAAATTATCCCTAAAAAAAAAAGTACTTTAACGCACCAGTGCACAAAGCAAAGTTGAAAAGACCTTTCGTGACTTTCATAAAGGGTGAAGACACAAGAAAAAAAAAGTTGAATGGGTTTGTTTAGTAGAGTTTTATTTGAAAAAATTTTAGTATTACATTATAAGCACATTTCAATTATTTTTTTAACTACATTTTCATATCACATTTTCAATTCGCATCCTTACTGTCTCTAACGTTATCTTCAACAATTCCAACTTCAAAACTCCCAGTCAAGCACAAGGATTTGGCACTATTGGGTGTAGTCATGCATGAATTTTTGACATTTAAGCTAAGGCATACCTTCCTTTTTTAACTTTTCCAAACGTGGTGTATATTCATAGATTTGGATTCCAAAAAGAAAAACAAAACAAAGCCTTAACACTGCCATTTCTCATTTCTAAGGGTCTTGTTCGAAACTTGCATCAATGAAAACCTAAGGAGCAGCAAACTCCAAGAATACCTTAATGTTAGAAAAAAGTTTGGTTGTAATTTGTACCCTTGAAATATCACCTATCAAAGTGGACCCTAAACTGACAATTTTAGCATTTAAGTACATTTTGTTGTAAATTTCTATCACATTGCTCGACTTGATTGAAACCATTAAATTTTGGGTAAAGTACATAAAACCCCCCTGTGGTTAAGGAAATTGACACGAAACCTCCTCATTGTTTAGAAACTCCCACTTAACCCCCCTGTGCTTTGGACTTGTTTGGATTTTACCTGCTAACCGGCTGCAAAGCTAGCGAGTGATATTTACGCGACTTAATGGTAACTTGTGTCTAGCAGAAACTCATTTCATTCCAATTTTGTCCTCCATGTCTCTTCCAAACTTGCACCCACCATAGTTGTAGATCTGCAAATGAAAATTTTCGACAAAGAGATGCAAAACGAAGACCCAAAAACGTAAAGAGCTCAGCGCAACTTTGGATGGATCAAGAAAAGCTTTGGAGGGGCTAAATCAGCTATCATTTGAAGGAAGGACCCAAAAATGTCAAACTCCCAAAATTTTTCTTGGCTGTCGGCCCGCCACCACCTTTGTCTTTGTCATCGTCATCGTCGTCCGGGGACGGTTTGAAGAAGACGGAGGAGGTGAAGGAAGAGGACTTGCAGAAAATACCTTACCTCAAAGCAGTGTTTCACTTTAGGTGGACACCTCCAATATTAGGTGCAATTCTACAATGTGGATTCATTGTTTGAAACCCAAACGAGCAACTGGAATTGGGTTTGTGAGATGAAAGAAAAAGATGAAGAATAATGGTATCTATTGGCCCCCAAAACCCAATAGCTTTTCTTCTATGAACCATTTGAAATTTCGTTTCCTCGCCCAACAAGCAAAACAAGTAGTCGCGGCTTGCGTTTTCTGTCGAGAAACCAATATGGGTTGGACTTGGAGCCTCCGATAATGTGACGGTGGCAGAAAGGGGCGGTTCCATGCAGGAAACCAACAAATTCCAGATGGGCTTGTTGACTTGGGACTATTTCTGGTAACGGGATTTGTCCTATTGCACTCACGGGGTAAAAGGGGAAGGGCTGCGTTGAGTTCGATCCGTCAGTGCTTGGGCAGGCAAGCTTTTTTGAAGGAAGAACCCAAAATGTCAAACTCCCAAAATTTTTCTTGGCTGTCGGCCCGCCACCACCTTTGTCTTTGTCATCGTCATCGTCATCGTCGTCCGGGGACGGTTTGAAGGAGACGGAGGAGGTGAAGGAAGAGGACTTGCAGAAAATACCTTACCTCAAAGCAGTGGAGTTGGAGGGTTATGTAGTTCCCAAGAATGCTACTGTGAATTTCATGGTGGCTGAGATGGGTTGGGACCCAAAGGTGTGGGAAAGTCCTATGGAATTCAGGCCTGAGAGATTTTTAGAGGAAAAAATGGCCGGGGACAATAGCGAAGGTCAGCTGTTCGATGTTACTGGGAGTAAAGAGATAAAGATGATGCCATTTGGCGCTGGGCTAATTTGATTTGGCATTTCGAGTGGAGAGCTGTTGACGGTGACGATGTTGATCTCTCGGAAAAGCAAGAATTTACCGTCGTCGTTGCATCTGTAACTTTTCACATATTATATATGAGGGTATTTTTGGTATTTCATATTATTACAGGTTCCCAGCCGGTTAATAGGTAAAATCCAAACAAGTCCAAAGCACAGGGGGGTTAAGTGGAAGTTTCTAAACAATGAGGAGGTTTCGTGTCAATTTCCTTAATCACAGGGGGGTTTTATGTACTTTACCCTTAAATTTTTATAACCTTTTAATAAAAAGACATAATGATAGAATTTTGGATGACAGATATTAAATAACAGTTACGGGTACCAAAATCTTTGCATTAAAGATGGTAAAGAGGAAATGGATTGTTTTCTGATCGATTCGAATATATCATAAACAACCAAAGTGCTGAAATCAGCAATAAAAAAAAAAAAAAGGAAAAGAAAGAAAGAAAAACACGAAGCCCAAGGCTCTTATCTTGGAGATGTCAACGGGAACAAAGTTAACAGCTCCGGCGGCTCCGGTTTTCTTGGGGAGGGATGCAAATAAAAGCCCTTCTCCGCAATAGCTCTTTCCTCCTCAGAGGGTGGTGACTCGGTCCCAACTCGGGTGGAGACCACTGAGTTACGCCCGAGTGGCGTCATGGAGCTATGCACTGGCGTCGGCGGGCAGCCAGGCGAGTCGGGCTGACTCACTGATTCACCAGCTGCTTTAAGGCCGAGTTTGATCTCCATTTTACGCATGGCAGTTTGCTGCCTTCTTTCTTGAAGCTTCAGCGGTGACCTACGAACACCGGGTGGGTCAATATGGCCGTGGCGTTTTGGTGAAGTTGAGGGGCTTTGGATTTCCGGTGGTTTGTTGGTGGAGTTACCGGTTGCTCCGGTTAACTTCTGGACTAGTTCTCTAAAGGTGGTTTTGTCTACCTGAAAATATGTTCCTAGTTCCGGCGGTGACTGTCCCATTTTCTTGTTGAAGGGTTTTTTTCATTCAAACTGTATATTATCTTGAAACTAATTTTTCTTTGGCCATATGGTTTTAAAGAAGATGTATATACCATATGGTCCTGAATCACATATATAGATGGAAGAGAAAGGGGAGAAAAGGTGGAAGATTGTCAAAATAATTTATGAGTTTTTAGACTATAATTTTGGTTTGGAGTGTGGAAATGATATACTCATTTAAGAATGCTGGTTTGGTTTAAGCCATGGAGTCAAAGTTGAAATAAATTATGAAATTTTGCACATTTAGCAGTTTTCTATTCTTTTTCTTTCCAACAAAGTTGTTTTGAGAGGGATATCATCGTTGCAAGTCAACCTCTTGGATTTCAGATATTAATCTTCCAACCAGGTTTGTCATGTTATGCATACAATTGTATTAATTACATGATTTAACAGAAAGTGTAACAGTAATATTTTTCAAGAAATTCTTTGAGAATTATATATCAAAAAAAAGAAAAAACGACATGGAGTACTGGTTTAGGAATGATATGACACTGAATTTTTGCAGGCCAACTCTCTGGACAGAAATGGAGAAATTCAATTAATCTTATTTACAGTACTATGGCTTGCTGTTTATTCTGTTCATAGTCATTTAGGGTCTGATTTCGAAATTTATGGTATTGAAAGAAAAAATTCTACTTGTAAGAAAAAATAGGTGTACATCTTTTGCTAATCAGTACAAAATCTACCGTTGCAGAAAAAAAAATTCTACTTGTAAGAAAAAACAAAAATAGGAAGCAAAAGAAAAAGGAAATTTTGGTAGGTCTACCTTATGAATGTAAAGTTTAGAATGGATTCATTTATAATACTCTTATTTGTTTCTTTTGTTTTTTAGACCAACTCTTATTTGTTTATCGTTTGTTAGTTTTGCATGTAAAATTCTCCTTTGTTTCTCTCTCCCTTTTGTTCGATTTGGCACATAAAGTTTTTGTTTTCTCAATTTTTTATATTGAATTCCTAGGAGATATATAGATCTGATTACATCAAATGAGTGCTTTAACACTTCTAATCCTGATTTGATCAAACGAATATTCTGACGTTTCTTTTGAATTTTTTTTAAATTATAGGTGATATTCGAATTCCCGACCTATATTTCAAAGAGAAATTTAATCCTTTTTTTATTGATCACTGAGGCAAAGCTCAGTGGTTTTCTATCCGGGATTCCTGGTCACCTAAAACATCCAAACAAGATTAATATGATTGCCTTTTTCCACAATATCACACTTTCTGAAATTTCTGCATTTGTCCTCTAGCAGCCGCAACTCAATTGTGTTTCTTAGTACAGTTGGACGATAGATAAGGACAGGGCCAAATGGAAGTTGCCAAATGTAGCGTCAATACAGGATCTTTACCGTACAGTTAAACTGCTTTTCGTTTGACCTGAAAACTGATTGTTATCTACTTGTATTCCTCAACTGACTCTGGATATGACGTTGGGCCAATGGGCAATAGTTGTTGGTAATGACATTAGTTTAATTTTGTACCGCAAGAGAGCAAGTGACCAAAATAATGACTCAACTATTTTACTAAAATCAAAGTGGTCTCTCAATTTTGTTTTTAGCCAATTTATTCCTTCGAACACTTTGTTGTAGCCAATAGAAAACTTATTTGGTTGAGCCACCCAAAATGTAAGATTTCTCCATTGATGACCAGTCAAAGCCGGGGCAAAATGGAAAAGTCACACATAACTGTCTTAAAATTAAAAAATAAAATTGGATTTAATCAGGCAAATTACAAAGAAATTGAATCAAATTTACAATAAAAAATATTTTTCAACAAATAGTCCTTGTATTTTAAAAATATTGTTAAAAAGGCTCCAAATTTCACTCTCTGATCCATTTTCTTTGCAATTTGCTCCAGTAAATCTGGCTTCCCTAATTTTAAGAAGGGTTGTCGATGGCTTCTTTATTTTGCACTCCGCTTTAACCAGTCATCATCAGTGGAGAAATCTTACTATTTTGGGTGGCTCAACCAAACAAGAATCCAATTAGCCATAACAAAATAGTAAATGTGGCAGATGGGGATAGGAAGAGTGTGGGAAAGGGTTGGGAGGCTAAAAAAAAAAAAAAAATTAAAGGACTATCTTGATTAAGAATAAAGTTGAGGGGCGATTTTGGCTTTATCCAAGTAGTTAAGGGACTATTTTGGTCATCTGCTCATTGTTAGATCTACACGAATTTGTATCAATTAGCTTTACAGTATATAAGGCGTCAACCAAAACCTACCCGTACAGCCACACAACCTAGCACATGTTGTTTTATTAGTGAATTTTTTATTAGTTAGCCTCTGTTATTGGATCTTTTTTTGTTTGTTGTACAATGCATTTATAACATATTTATGTCTAATAAATGGGCACTTGTTAAGATTCAAGTTTTATATTAAATTTGAAAAAAATAAAGTTAATAAGAAAAAAAAGGGTAAAAAGTATCAATGTGTACATTAACATGATAGGTTAGGTATAATTTAAATGTACTAACGATTAGTAAGTCTTCTATGGTACCATTGAAAAGGTAATTTTCACACTCACACACACACACACATATATATATATATGCATATGATACCATTGAAAAGGTAATTTTCACACACACACACACACACACACATATATATATATATATATATATGCATGCATGCATGCATCAATCCATTTCAGAAATTCTGAATTAGAGTGTTATATTGGAAATTCACCTAAAATCACCTTACCACACATAATGATTACTTGTCTTTATAAAAATTTGGACTACCAAAAAAAAAGGCTATAATTTGGGACGGAAGGATTAAAACCTTTTCTCTTCGCTATTAAGAGCAACACGGAGCAGTTTATACTTCATTGATCTTCATTTGAGAAGCAATTAATGTCTCTTGAGCGTTAAAATATCATGGAATGTGAACGTATATGGAGTAAGAACTATATATAATTAAGAATATATGTTTTCGTATGCAAATGATATGCTTCCGAGAAGCTATGGTAAACAATTATGCTCTTGAGCAGCTATTAGATATTAAAAAAAAAAAAAAAAAAAAGCAGCTAGCGAAAAACTAGAGTTGGTTGAACTACATTTTGAGTGGAATTTTAGTGACGAGGGGCTGCTACCACCCTAGAAATTCTGAATTATCTTAGGTTTTTTTTTTCTCAAGGTTTAAATTTTTCAGCTATATTTTAACAAATAAATCCATTTTACACCTCTAAAATTTTACTGATAATATATGGTTGTTCCTTCAAGTATATATATTTACTATTTTGCCTCAAATCATTTTTTTTCTTACTCTTCCACCCCTCGAATTTCAACTTGTGAGTGATGGTTATAGTTGCAGTTAAAAAACAAAGATGGTACAGCTCGGGCAAGGCTGAAGGCACGCAGATAGTTTGTGAAGAAGGATACAAAAAGGTGGCACAATAATTATTAAGGTTAATTTTGTTTTACACCCTGCAATTATATTTTGATTTACACTTTGGTTCTTAAATTATAAGTTGGGACGCTTTAGTTCATAAATTATACCCCAATTCTCACATTGACCGCTAAACTCTAATTTGTGACATTTTAGTCCTGATACTATATCTCGATTGTCATTTTGGTTCTTAAAATTCTTTCTTTCCTCTAATTTTAGAACTTTTTTGGTTATTATTTAATGTTATTTTCTGCTTGTTACAAGTATTTTGTTAGTTTTAGGGATTTCATTAATGGTTGTACTTAAATGAGACGGTATTTATAGTTTAAGCACTAAAGTATCCCCATTTATACTTAAAGGAGCAAAAGTAGAAATTGAGGTATAATTGAAGGGTGCACAATAGAAGTGACCCCAATCATTAAGAGATTTAAAATAACGAAAACTCTTCCTTTGACTTAATAAATTGAAATGAATGGGTTCTTACCAAACAAAATAATAGTAGCACGCTTTATTGAGCCGAAATAACGTTTATCACACGAAGGCACTTGCCTAAAGCTCAGTGGCCACCACCTCTCCTGGTGGGGTGGGAGGTCAGGGGTTCAATCCTTGTCTCCCACCAAATTGTCTGCCTCTCATGGGCAACTCGATTGGTCTCAACAAGCCTCTTTAGAAGTTGGTGTCCAGTGCCCGCAAGGGTGTGAGTTCCGTAGTTATCGTGTTAGGGGGGATGGGGCCTCTCCTCCCGGGCCGGAGTGGGATTAATCAGGTCCCGTAAGAATTGACTCGGACCCCCACTCCGTCGGCCAAAAAAAAAAAAAAAAGTACATGAGCGAGCACCCTCTTTAGGTGATTAAAAATTTAAAAGTTAACAACAATCTTTTTCTCATGACCATAATAGATGTGGAAGACTATTAGAATTTGTTTCACGTGGGACTAAGAATTTTTAAGGCCATGCCATCAGAGACCAAATACATTAGTCTCCTTTACACCTCAAATTACGCGTTTTAGAGGTCACCAACACATTGAAGAGTGAGCGTATGGAATTTCCCAGGGAGGGCCTATTATGGATTGGGTACACAGTTGCCACATTTCACAAGCACGCTGGGGCCATATATGGAATATAGATTAGGCTGATATGCGTGTGAGATGATGCACCAGTGTACCCCAATCCATATCAAGGATAAAAAACAATTCCCCAAGGTTTTATAGACAACAAAAGAAGTCCAATCGACAATATTACAGGAATAATTCACACTAAGTGAACTGCATTAAATAAGCATGTTAATTAGATGTAGTAGAAATAGGGTACGGTCAAACTAGCTAGATCAAGAACTTCTGCACCTACATAGTATGCTTGATCATCCACGTCAAGCCATAAATATAATAGCTAAGATCAATCCGAGTCATTCAATTTAAATTTAAATTCATTTGTTTTTATTGTCAAAGTCCGAAATTTGGAAAGCTCACCTTGATTTGGGCCATGAATTGTACTTCACAATTCCACTGCCAAGCTTATGTAGTAGCCACTAGATATCTCTTTAGATGAGTGGGTCATCACGCGAAACACAAGGTGCAATTCCACTATGAAGCATATATATCTACTATAAAGCCAACTCCTTTTAGTTTTGGGTGAGTTGGTCACCAAATGAAGCATAAGGTGTAGGCCTGACTACAAGTCAAGAGTTCAAAGCTTTGCACTTACCAAAAATTCAAAGGATGTGTAGTAGTGTACTCCTTTGGTTTAGATGTGAGATCCTCTCCCTTTAATCCAGTTGACTTTTCTTCAATATAGGTTTTGACTAGGAGTATGAATTGCCCCACACACACACATATATATGGCGGGATGAGGGGTTAGCCCCTTAAACCAGAAAAATAATGAACATAAATAATAAGAGTAAGGAAGTGGATCGCAGTTGGATTGCCACTAACAGATCAGGTACTATATCCAGTAATGAGATCTATGAATATAAATAGAACATCTAAACAAGTAAGTGAATATGCATCCTAGGTGGTTTAGCCGACCATTCAACAAAATGTTATTGAATAAAAGTTTGAAAGAAAAACTTACAAGTTTGAAACTTGCTTGATCCTTGATCGAAACTTATTCCTTAAGTTTGAAACCTAACTAATTTGTATTCTAGAGAGAAGGAGGAGAGTTTTTCAAGTTTAGAGAGAGAAAGAATTTGAAGAAGAGTTGTCTAAGAGTTGTGTTGGGATTGAGAGGTATTTATAGCAATTTTTTCGTATTACTGCAGTACCGGCTATAGTGATTTTTATTGTTTGTTACAATGTATAGTACCGTTACAGTGCACACTACAATGTATAGTGCGATTTTGCTGCCATATTTGTAGTAACTTACCGGACCATTATAATGACTTCCGGTGCTATAGTGAGATTTTTCTTGTTGATTTTGTTGCTCTTAATTCATTTGAGACAGTTTGAATGTCTTTCAGAAGCATTTGTTTTTAGCAAATAGTTGCTGATAACTCTTCTAATGTTTTTTTGATCCATTCCTTGTAATGTTGTGCGTTGACTCCCCATTTCTTGAGCCAGTACTTGTTGAGAATCATTCTTTGAATATTCCTCTTTTTCATGAAACATTGTTCTTTCAGGGTTTGAGCAGAATAGCTTGAATCTCTTATTCTGACATGGTTGTATTTGCGTATGAGGTAGATTGAGATTCTTTCACCAGTATCATGGTTAAAAAATACACTATCAAAGTTTCTGATCCTAGATTCTTTGCAGTCATTTCCGTAAGAATGGTATTCTACCTAGAGTCATGAAAAGGCATTATCTCTGAGTTTCATGTAAAAGGGTTGAGTAGTAGGGTGCATAGCAGGATCTCCAGGAATCAAGAATGGATTTTCATCATCTTCTAGAGTTTGGACTTCAGTTGTTTGGGTCTAATCTAGTGTTGAATTTTCGTCAGTTGCTTGGAACCAATTTGAGGTTGATTCATTAGGAATCTGATCCCAGGTTGATTCATCAGAAACCTGGTCCTAATATGATGTTCGGCCTTTATCAGGAGTCTGATTGGTCTGATTGTTTGATAAAGGATTTTCCTAGTATGACATTGTAGGTTAAATGTTTGACTAAAGAAAAGGTATCTGTGAAGCGCTTCATTAAGATTCATGTTGATAGCTTTCGTTAAGGAGCAATCCTAGAGGAAAAGACATGACTGGTTTGCTGATTAAAAAGGGACACCCCAAAAAAAAAAAAGAGGAGGACTAACCGGGGAACTCCTTGCCGAACAGAGTGGCTATTTGCCTTCTCGGATGGTAGTTAGTTGATGAAAATGCCATCTGAGGCTTGAACAGAATTGGCCTTAGCACTGAAATTTTAGTCTTCTCAAGGCTGACAAAATTGGGTGGCATTCCGGATGCTTCTTTTCCTTCCTTGACGTGGTCTTTTTTAGGCTTTGATTCCTGCTGTATCATATACGCCTGTATTTTTGTGTTGTGCTACTATAAAGTATGGAATTAACACTAGTGATGGATGGGGAATGGGAACGTGCGTTCATATCCCAGCAAACCCATGATTCTTCGATAAAAAGAAAGCAAACCAAACCGTACACTTTTTGTACTGCGATTCCCTTGTTTAGATGCCTATGAAACGTACTGAGCAGCTTACTACAGATCCCATTACGTTACAATTTACAGCAACTCGGCTGGAAATGTTTCTTGCCTGTAAAATTTTTACCTCGCCTGAGATCGACCAGACTTCGTTGATGTGATGACATACAAGGTGGTGTCTACCGTTGTGATTAAATATATTGTATATATGCCCAGTTAATGGTTGGTTAACGATCATGGTGAGAATGAAAATTAGTGAAATACTAAACAGAGTAAAATTATTTGAGCAATACAGTTTTGTTATAAATATTGAATGGTCATCTGAAAGGGGTTCTCGTTCTACAGGCATTCTAAATATGAAAATCAAATAAGTTTCGATACAAGAGGTTCTAGTTGGTTTGTGAGAGAAATATGTGCAAGATCCTACTTTTCATAGGTTTATACAGTACAGGCAACCACAATCTTCGTTTCGATACAAGAGTTACTTGAAACCATTGTTTGATTTCCTTTTGAGCAGTAGGTATTACAGTCATTGCAGCACGGGGGACAAAATGATCTACCAAAGCAGAAACAGCATAAGATTTATTTACGAGATGACAACAAACAAAATAACCACAATTACCATTGGTGATAACCACAAGTTACATTCTTTCGTTTTTCTTCTTTTTGTTTCATTATTTTTGGCTGTCGAAAAGGATTACTGCACTGGAGATGGAAGAGTATGGTTCTCTCATTGCTGGGCAGCTGCCTTACAACATATGCTTCTTAAGAAGTTATTCATGCATGGGTACAGAGGCTTTCACAATGCATCAAAATCCAAAATCTAACATTTTGGCAATTAGGAGGACCAGAAACAAGTAAAGTTGGGAAGAAGAGTGGAAAGTGTTATATCGAAAGAAAAAGTATATATATGAAATAGTTGAGGATTACTTTCACATACACTTTTAGTTGTAGGAAGGCTTTAATACATCAGTTTTCAAATTGCACAAATCAATTTATATCACAAATTTTAGCCAGACCTACTTTTCTCCTATCAAAAATGCTGCTAGTGTCCACTGGCTTCAATAAAATATCATTACTAATAATGGATTAAATAATTCACCAATCAATCCCATAGACTAAATATACTTTTCAAAATGGTTCTAGCTTCCCAAGCACTGAACTCTAATTTCAATGTTAGAGTGGCTCGAAACTAAGGCCCTGTTTGGAAGCTTGGTTTTTTACCAAGTTTGTATAAAACTAGTTTTTTAACAACTTTTGCTACAGAAACTCCAAAAAACTTATCAAAAGTTTTTAACCTACACACTTAAAATATCCAAAACACAACAAAAAAAAATTCCCTTCCCCTTTTCTTCTTCTTCCTCCCCCACCACCACCTCCATTGCCGGCTCCGTCACCAATTTCCGGTGCCGGACAAGAATTTTTTTTCCCCCTTTTTTTCCCTCTCCCCCTCTTCCTCCCCTGCCATCATCCTCTCTTGTCTTTTTTTTTCTCTCTACGTCCGGCGCAGAGGGGGGCGGCGAGGAGGGCAGAGGAGGGAAGGGGCGGCGGGAGAAAGGGGGAAGGCGGGGTAGAGGGAGAAGGGGCAGATGGAGGTGGCGAGGGGGGCAGAGAGGGGAGGCGGAAGGGGCAGAGGGGGGCGGCAGGGGAGAGGGGGAAGGGGCAGAGTGGGGGGGGAAGGGGGCGGCGGGGGGCAGGATGGCCAGAGGGGGGGGAAGGGGGGAAAGGGAAGGGGCGGGGGGCAGCGAGGGGGCGGCGGAAGGGGCACAGGGGAAGGGTAAAGGGTGGCAGAGGGGGGAGGGGGAAGGGGCAGAGGGGGGCGGCGTAGATGGGGGCAGCAGGGGAGAGGGGGAAGGCCGGGCAGAGGGGGATGGCGGGGGGAGGGGGAAGGCGGGGCAGCCGGGAGGTGGAGTTGCTGCTGGGGGTGCGCAGGTGACGGGGAAGAAGAAGAAAAAGAAGAAGAAGAAGAAAAAAAAAGGAAAGAAAAGAAAAAGGAAAGAAAGAAAAAGAAAAAGAAAAAGAAAGGGAAAGAGAAAAAAAAAAGAAAAAAAAGGAAAGAAAAAAAAAAGTTTTTCACCTTACAAAAATTTCTACAAAATTTTTTCAAAAACTTCTACAGTGCACTACAGTAAAGTTTTAGACAAACTCCCAAAAAACTCAGGTTCCAAACAGGCCCTAAGTTCTATTAGTGGCAATGTATCTACATCATTAAATATGCAGCAAAAGCCATAGACAAATAAGAGAATGTAATGGCATATACTGCTTGGAGAAAACCCAAAAGCATCAAAAGTTTTACTATAGCATACCCATCCTAAGCACAGATATATCTGCCACCCATCAAAATCCAAACTCTTTATTAATAATTAACAAGATCTGAATTACTATAGATCCTATTTACGCAGGAATTCAGAATTTACAAAAGTTCAAAAGGACAATGTTTGTTTCATGTGGATGGATTAAATGCACGCAATACTTCAATCCGAAGATCCTAAACTACATGGCATCATATAATCGTGTATTTTTCCACACAATGGCATCTAGACATTTCATTCTCACAAAACCACATTCTGGGGCCCTGTGATGTTAATCTTCTTCCCATCTCCAGTTCTGTGCCTTCTAAAGACAGTCATTATACTTGAACTTTGTTAGTGGCTCATAGTGCTTTCGTTGTCCTCATATGCATCCCTCTTTGTCTTGTTTCACTATAGGAAATAAGATATCAAAACTTAACAAACAACATAGCAGGTTATCATAAACTTCTGTAACCACCTTTGCCAATGTGATTAACTGAATTCAAGTCTCCCTCATACAAAGCTGCTAAAATTTATTCTTAATGGTGTCAGTCCTTACATAGTGGTTTGGTGCTTTGTAGTTTTGTATTTTACCCATGCTGAGCGAAGTGGTCATAGGTCTAGCTCTCCGCTTCAAGCAATGAATTACCTTTCCATGAGCAATAGCTATTTCAACCTCTGGAAACGATTCTTCAAGAAACTCCATGACTTCTTCAAGCCCTATGAAATAGTTCACAAGTCCATGAATAATAAATGTAGGCGTAACTGAACACCATCTACGAAACTCATACAAACTGCTCAGAAATTTCAAAGTTAAAACCACATGAGACATAAATCTCCTGATGACTGTCTAAAATCTTAAAAAGGTCATAACAAAAAAGCCAATGTAGTCAATTCACCTTTGATTCTGGGCAACACATAAAAAACCTGTCCGTCTCGGTCCAGCTCATACTTTGTAGCTGATATCATCTTTTCCTTAGAATATGACGAAAGATGGGTTCTTATTGGAACTCTTTCAGGAGGTGGTGTAGATATTAAACTGCAAAAGGTTGAAACAAAATATACATCAAAAAATAAGGACATCACATTCAAGAAAACTTGCACAAACAAAATGGTATTAGCTGAGATCACCAGCCCATATTCTAGTCTATACAACCACTCCATATTCAAAATGGTATTAGCTGATATCACCAGCCCATATGTTTCTTTGTAATTACACCACTCCATTTTCACTCAGGCTGTAAAGGGACAAAAGATAGGGGTACTTCTATCCTTTCATATGGTTAAAAAGTCAAGTGGAGCGCCATTGACAAACAACAGAGTGCAAAAACCAGCTCCTCCTATTCACACAAACACAAGACTCACCCAACCCCCTGAGGACAAAGCAGCAAACAGTGGCCCAGGCAGTGGTTAGAGATAATTAGTTTAATAGAACATTGACTGGAACTACCTATCAAGTAAAAGATCATAAAAAAGACCTAGCAGAATATCAACTCACATCAATTTGAATTTACTCAAGAATTTAGCACCTGAAACCTTTCATTTTAATGAGCAAAAATTACCTGGCATCACAAAACCCAGTCAAAGCTAAATAGAGGGTTCGTGGAATAGGTGTTGCTGAAAGCGTGAGTACGTCAACTGAGGTTTTAAAAGAAGCAATCTTCTTCTTTTGTTTCACACCAAATCTCTGTAAAGCATCATCTCACATAGAAATCTAAATCATTTGTTTCTCTTGATATCAGAATACTAAATGCAGAAGACTAAGTGAAGAAGTCAAACCATCTCTCCTTCAAAGGGGAGCAAAACAACCCTTTATAATAAGCATTGCAGTGCACCTAAACCCCAATATTTAAGTATGATATACTATCTGCAGTGACTCTGTAGCATGAAACGAGCAGTGAATGAAGAACTATTCATACATAAGACAAAATAAAGCAGAACAAGTAATGTCTTAGAAGGGAAAAAAAAAAAGCAATAAAAGCAAGGCAAATAAACAAAAAAATTATGACAAAATGCGGAGGGAAACGACTAAGGCAATGAAAAGGAAATCAATGCAATAAATAAATAACGCAAAGTAAAGCTAAACAATAGCATATATGTAGCAAAATATCCACAAGGCAATTTAAGATATGGAAATGGTAACAACCAAAGATTGGAAGAGAAAAGGGGGAAACGTACAAGGAAATGTAAAATAGGTCCATAAAAGAGCAGAAGGGCTCACCTGATACTGCCGGGTGGTGAACGATAAGAAGGACTAGTAACAACATAACAGGCACCACCATACCAATTAGCTATATACTTGAAAAAGTAACGGGGACAACCAACAGCTCTCATCATCGCAAGCACCTAATCCTCGGGAAAGAACAGAAAGAAACAGTGGACGAAATGTACGGCTTCTGAACACAAAGTCAGTTCACCCACCTTCTCCAACAAGAAGGCGACTATCTGGCTAAGCAAGCGAGACGCAATAAAGACTACATTACCAATACAACCTCCAGAAAACAGCAGAACAAATAAATACAATAAAAGGGCAAGCGTAAAAAAGAGCACAGCGAAGTGCTAAAATGGTAATATCAACGGGGCTAGGAGCCCAACGACCACATTACCAAATCACTGCTTCACCGCTTCAGGAGCAGCCACAGGGGGAAAATAGTCTAGGTAAAAATTGTACGACAAATACACAACCACATGAAAGTCAAATAGCAAGGAAGAAGGAGAAAGAGGCAGTGAAAAAAAGTCACGATTCACCACTGAGAATTGAACCGCTCTCATCAGAGGAAGCTGTATGGTATAATAGAATAGAGCTCCGGTGGGAAGGTGAAGAAAGAAGAAGCGTAATTTCTGCCAAAGCCACATTACCAACACACCTTGATAATGAAACAAAAAAGGGGAACTCCTATAGATACAATAACAGGTTGGAACGTAAATAGGTGAACACCAAAGGGGTACAACTGTAATATTGGCCAATCTCTGAGCCCAACAACCCATTACCAAACAACAACTCTACCGTTTTTTGACCACAAAAGAAAAAGAAGGAAAAAAAAAAAAAGACAACCGGACTCTACTGTTTTTTTACCACAAAAGAAGAACAAAAAAAAGACAACTGGACACCCAGCACCTGCCAACCAATCGTCTCTTGCCACGTGGTGGACGACCATGCCGACGTGGAACCCCGGCTTTCACCCTTATATGATGACATATGACCTTTGAGGCAATCTACAACTCATAAAGAAAGAAGAAAAGAATATATAATCCAATGCCTTCTATTCTCTACTTGCAACTTGCTTACCTTGTGCGAGATCATTAGAGAGAGGATCCTGTGTTAGGAACTTGGCGAATTATGAGCGAAATCATTAGAGCATAAACATATGTGTGCCAACTATATGATTTAGAACACTATTGAGGAAGCAATTCTAACAAGTGAAATGAACTTTGACAATCAAAAGTTCCAGTATCATACAACGTTCACTTGACATCTTCTCGGGAGCACTACACACAAGTTCATGAATCCCGGTGAACCAAGTCATGCCTGTGTGTGCCCCTCTTGAAGAACCATCAATCCTACATATCGATCTCATACCAGCAAAGATACAAAAGTAATCAAAAAATGGAACTAATCCTTCCCACAATTCCCATCCCCTTTTCCATTTCCTCCAAACGATGTAAACAAATCATTACCACTACAACCTGCCTTCTAAACTGACCAAAAAGAAAAAATGCAGATATCCTGAATACATTCAAATAACTGGCAAAAAAATAACTCATAAGTGTAACCTAGTTCTCCACATTTCCCCAATGACCTTCCTTGGTGCTGGATCATCAGGTCCCCTGTCTCGTTGTCCAGAAGTGAAGTACAACCATCCATTCCAAAAGCCAACAAGAGTAGTTTTCACTCGATAAGGAAGCTTTCCCACGACTGACCATTTCTTTAGCAGTCCAAAACCAGGATTGAAAACAAAAACAAATAAAGAAAAAAATTTCAGAAAGTCAGATGCAGAACAAGAAAGAAATTTCATGAGAAGATACCAGCAAAATTGGTTGCAAATAACCAGCAGCAGAAATAGAAGAGACGCAAGAATACTCAAGGACTGACTGACACAGTACAAAAGCAAACACCTGCTGTAACGGATCTGCATCTGAAGAGTCTAGGCTTACCACCACATTATGCTGAATACATGTACACATTTATGCTTGTATGAGCACACAGACACATTTTTTTTTTTGGGAGGGGGGGGGGGGTTGAGAATCCACCTCCAATGTTACATCTGCTGAGTTTGGTAAAAGATTGCAGGAAAAACATCAGCAGAATAGCAACGATTAATGTCTTTGTCTAGGCTATATACTGTTTTTCCTAAGTTTTTGAATTCGGGTAACAAGCTTAACTAAGGGCTTTTTGGCTGAACTTCGCCCATGGAGAAGATGCGTCTTTCTAGCATCAAAAACATTAGACCATTAATTATCAAGTTTTTCAGACACTAAGCTTACCAGTGTATCTAACTGAAACTGGAATACTTCTCCAACAAGCGTCATCTTCTTTGTTTCAGGGTGCTTCTCTGTTGTGCCTCCAACAATAATGATTGAATTATTCACAATTTTCCAAGCAAACTCTATGTGTGAATCAGGCTTTGGCATAGGCGGTAAGACCTTCCACTTCATATCATCATCCAGCATGTAAACATCACCATAGACAACCTGTAAGAGTCTCAAGCTGCATACTTTAGAATAGATCTTAGATGTTTCCAAAACATTCATTTTGCTTTAGACAAAATTCTCAGTCTACTACTAAAGAAGAAGTGAACAAATCAGCTCATAACTAACAATGTCATGGGATATTAAAAATTAAGTCCAATTAGAGAAAATGACACTTGCCACAATCATAATTGGAAAAAGAATAAAGCACTATGCTGCTCTTTTTTTTTTTTTTTTTTTTTCATTTCACGAGTAAAAGTGCTTAATGTAGGTGAAAGAAGTATATTACCTCATTCCTGCGAGAGCACTTAAAAATAGGAGACCCAGGCTTTCCCATAAAATCACCCTCTTGACCGCCTATGACATACAATTGATCATCAACCACAACACAAGCCCTGCATGAATGTGGTTTTTACACCAGAAACAACAAGATCATTCACTCGTGCTGGAAATTTCATTGAAATTACAACTGCAAATTGAAAAACTAGTGTTTCTGAATCGTCCTTAGTGTTTTCTCTAATTTCTTTTAAGAAAATCTCCATCAATTATAGAATAAAGCCCTATTGCATGATAAATATCAGAGATAAGTTCTTCACCTTCCATTGTTTTAGCATATCTTGACGGAAACAGTAGTCATCCACAAATACAGTTGCGAAACCAAATTTGAGCTAAGAAAACTTTGTTGTCTAATTACATCAGAAATTCAAGCAACATAGAATGGTCACGTTACAATGAGAATAGACTCCTTAATAAATTCAAATCTTTACAAATCAAACACTTGCATGTTTAAATCTGATCTTTCTAAATTATTTGACATTTAAATTCCCAGCAACGGAAAACACAATTGTATAGATAAGAGAAGAAACGAAATGCAAACTTAAATTTTTATGTAGTGAAATCTAACCTCTTTGGAAAATAAACCAATGAAAAAAAAGGAACTCTTACAGACAGAACCCGAACAAACTTTCTTCTCCGCCATTACTCTCATCCCCACAAACAGATTAACTGTTTTATTTACCGTGACATACAATTAATTCCAGGTAAGTAGTGGAAACAAACCTGTGAGGTCCACCACGGGGTATGGGAACCTCAGTCCGCCACTCCTCCTCTAAAGCTTTGCCATCTTTTACCGCAATACTCCAATGCTCTAATCCAGGTGTATGACGATTCTCTTTGCTGCCACCCATCACATGTAGTCTTTCCCTCCAGAGTTGAGTTGCAGGTGCATACCTGAAATTATCCGAGTAAATCTTTAACAAAGACATGTACAGAAGCGACAACCACACCACAGTTATGTTCTGAGATACACCTAGTGGAAAGTGAATTCAGTACATGCTGAAAATCACATCACATCTTTCATTTTAACAACCATAAGAGAGGGCCATTCAACCCCCAACTTGCACTCAAAAGTAAAGGTGCAGCTTCAAACATGCTCTTCATTAAGTAAGACGGAGGGCAACATTATGTGCTAGACAAGAAATATTTGGTCCCCAAGAAAACCAAGTCCAAATACCAGAATTTACACACACAACGAAGAAGAGCAACTTGAGAATTCATAACTCAAAATAGAAGCAGGACAAGAGGCATTTGGACAAATTCATGCGAAATAAATACTAAATCAATTGAAAGCTCGATAAAATCGAAGATTAATAAAACTAACCAGGCGGAATGGAACATTCATACCTAGGGAGAGGTAGAGGAGGCATGTTGCTCCACTGCTTCGTCTGTGTGTCAAGCACAAATGTTCGTGCAGTAGGCCCTCTACACTGAGGGCCATATTGCCCAGTAACTACATAAATATACCTCCCATCTGTTACCATACCCAAATGTGAATGGGCCATCTCTTTAGGCATATCAAACCTTCCTCCCCATGTATTGTTGGTAAAGTTGTAAATGTCCACATGAGAATGCACCTACAGCAGAGAGATATGAAGGGATGATATAGTGAATCAAGTTGAGGTAGGAAATATTCGGTGTAAATCGAGAGAGAGTACGAAAGGAGAGGTGGGAATGGGTTTTACATAATCAATGGTTCCGTATCCGGCAAAGACATAAAGCAGATGGCCGATCTGAATGGCAGCACCGTCAAGACGAGGGACAGGGGCAGGGGCCATCTTCTCCCATTCCAAGAGGGGAGCTGGCAAATCAGAAAAGGTAGCTGATAGTAACCTCTGATTGGTCTTTACATGTTTGTTGGCAGCGTCCTTGTCCTGCATAAATGAGAGTGTACACAAGGGGGAAATAAAACACTCGGAAAATGATAAGAAAGAAAGGCAGAAGCAGTAGCAGTAGAAAGCAACCTGGGGTTTGGTATATAAATACTGAAAAACCAGAATTAGTGTTGCTGCTAAATATTCGTGTTAGGGTTTATGAGTTTTTTATTATTATTATTATTATTATTATTATTATTTTGGTTGTTTGCTCTAAAGATATGAAATTTGCAGAGGAGGGAATAAAAAAAAAGGAAAGGTGAGAGAGAGGAGGAGGAGGGGGACCTTGAAGGGAGCGGGAGCGGAATGGGTGTGATTGGGGAAGGGAGAATGGGAGATGACGATGAAGTGCGCGGAGGAGGAGGAGGAGGAGGCAGGAGAAGGAGAAGAGGCGGCCCAAAGTAGATCTGCAATTAGAGCAAAACCCAGTAGGCCTATTATGCAGGGCAACAGCAATTTCTTGGCGGCCGTGGTTTTATGCTGCTTGGCGATAGCTGCCATTGGCCTCCCCATATGTCAAATCTCAATATCAACAATGTCGCAATCTCATCATCATCTTCTCTGTCATTGTTGTTGTATGAAATATAATAGTAGTCATTTTCGTTTATGATCTATGACCCATCATCATCATCATCCGCTTGTCTTCTTCTCTCATCAATTCATTCATAGATGGCTGTGAAATCTAATATCCCCATATGAGCCAAGGAAAATGTTGTCAGTCAAAAACATGCTTCATGTTGCAGAATGCACAACAAAATTACTGAAATAAGAGCAACACGCTAATTATGGTGTGTGCAATCAATAACAATAACTGGCAAGTTGACTCAGAAACAAACCATACACCAATCATTACGTGGAAACAGAAGCTGCTTTCCCTCATCCAAAGAAGAAAATGGATGGCTATGCAAATCTCAGTAGCACGAACCAAATAAGAGGGTAGTGATAATTGAGAACAAAATCTCAAAATGCACGATGAATGTGTTGAAGCAAATACTTTCTTTCTTGCAATTTGAGTCCCAAAATATTTTGTGTACTTCCTATTCACAGTAATGCACATCATGTAGGACAAGCCCTTGCAATCGGTCCCTTTTCACACTTAAACCTAAGTTTTAAAGTTCAAATTCCGGATTTAATTTCAGGGAAGTTTCTTCAATGAAAGTGTACAACCCACACTATAACCAATAGATCATTTACATGGGGATAGCCACAACTATGATTCTCACAAACTGATCTCAATACAAATTTACATTCATTTGATCCAACACACTCCTACACAAACCCCAAACAAGCACACTATGAGTTTGAAAGAAATAATATAGAGATGGTCAAAAGAGTACGTTAAAGGAAGGCGGATAGAGACAGATAATCAACAGATACCATAACAAATACTAAACATATGAAAGATTTGGAAGCAACAAGCATCGAAGAATGTTCTAATATATGCATACTATCTTTGACAAATGTAAGTAGGGAAAGTCAACAAAACAAAGCCTGAAAAAGACACCAACTCGACGGCGTTGATAGATTAGTGATAATCAGGGGTAGATCACATGGAACAACTGTTGCATCTTTTGCAAAACCAAAAGTTTTCCATAAAGAAGCATAAATCAACATACACAAATAGATATTGCAAACGTGAAGCGAGCAACAGCTAGGGCAAAGAACCGCAATAAAACACAGTATTGGCATTTCGTTTTCTTCAAAATCAATAAAGACAAGTCAGCAGCAAGGCCAAATGGAGATGTAAGACAGCTGGGACTTAGATCAAACCAAATAAAACAATTTTTATTCTATTTTTTCTTAATATATAGGTAGCAGCCCTTTTACCAGACCAAGAAGTAACAACTCCACTAGGGTTTCCTTTTGTATATTTTCCCGTTCCACCGTTAAAGCTTCAACCGAGTCATTCTGAGCTCTGGACAGTCCAGGAATGCAAATCAGCGAGAAATAATTCAAGGAGAAACTGCCTAAATTTGACATCCCTACCATAACAGACAGCTATGTAAATTGGCATACATTTATCCAGTTCATAGTGGCAGACCTCAAACAAAAGTACAAACTTTGACAGCAAATCGAGAAAACAAGGCAGACCCACTTCACCATTTGGAGCAAAAAGGAGAGAAACAGCCAAAGATCGGGGGCATAACCAATGGAGAATGAGAAAGCAAAGACAATGGTAAAATAATAATAATAATAATAATAATAGTAACAAAAGGAATGAGAGAGAGAGACAGAGAGAGAGAATCAAATTAGGTGAAGGGAGGGAGGTTTACCTGAAATAGTAGCAACTAGAGGAAGGAGAAGGGTGAAACGTGAGGGAAATACAGAGCTGGAGACATGAGATGGGAGTAGAATGGGATGGTTGATGGAATATGAATAATAGCAGTAGCACAACTAACACGGATGAGAAGGGATGAGATGAGATGAGGAAGAGCAAAGAGGAAAATGGGGGTTTGGGGGATGATGTCTCACTCTAATTGATGTAATTTGGGGGTTCAGTTAGTGATGATTGGGATTTTGCTGCTGCTGCTGCTGTTGCTGCTGCTGCGGCTGATGTCGTCGCTGTTGTCGTTGCTGGTGCGATCCCATCAACATCTTACTTCATTTCTTTCTTTCTTTGTTTACTTTTGTTCTCTCGCTACTCTACCTCTTCTCCTCCTACTACTGTATCTTCAGAGCGCCGCAACAAGGGGTGGGTTGTCTCGTCCGGCTATAACGTCCTTCAACATCCCATTTTTTGAAAAATATATACATCATCCTACTACTAAAACATGGACACTAAAAGTTAAAAGAATCAGAAATTTTTTTTAAAAAAAAATAAATACTCTGGTTGTATTATTAACAATGCGACTAGTGAACCTGTTTGGAATTTTTGAAATAGTAAAAAGAAAATTAAAAATAAGTAACGAGAGAAAATGAAAGAAATACAAGAAAATAAGGGCTAACTTCTCAAAATTATCTCAAAAAATTATCTCAAAAATGGGGGTGCTCAGGACCTGTTCCAATCAAATGTGGGGAACGTTTTTTTTTTCTTTTAAGTGTCAAACACTTTAGTTTGACACCTCTTTTTTTCTTTTTAACACGTCTCTCAGTCATCACACAATATTATGCAGTGAGAAAAGAGAATTTTTTTTTTTAAATTTTAACCTGTCTGTTGCCGCACAATGCTATACAGTGACGAGGATAATTTTTTTCATTTCTTTCAGTCATTGCATTATTGTTTTGGTAACTGAAATACTTATTTAAAAAAACATAATTTTATTTTTAAATTTTTTTATAATGACAATTTTTTAAAAAAACTCGATTCGATCGTGTTTGATCGGTTCAATTTATTTTTTGAATTATTCATTGAATCGAAGCGATGGCATGATCAGCTTGCAATTTGATTGGTTGAACCGGTCAGAGTGCAATCAAACGCATCAACAGTGGTATCTTTAGCAGTTGTACACTACTATAGGTTTAGAAAATAAAAATCAATTACCAAGGTGAGATAAACACTTAACTTAATGCTAATTAGTAACACTGACACGAGCCAACAATGACAAACCTCACTTTCTACCTTCTCACTGGTTTTCACTAAGGGTAATGCTAAATCAAATATCTAAACTTGAACTCGCAAACTACTCAGTCAACAACTCGATTCGAACTCACTTTAATCGAGTTTGAACTTGAATTTGGGTTGTCCGTTTGATCTCACAAATCGAGTTCCAAATTATTGTACTTGAAGGATCAACATGCCTAATCAAGCTTTTTATAATATATATATATTTTTTTATTGTTGTAAAATGTCAATTATATTCTTTATTTAAAATTATATGTAAAATATTAATTTTTATTATGCGAGCTTGAATGGATTCAATAGAGATTAATAAGACTCGATTAGATTTAATTAAACTTAAAATCAAGTTTGAATTCCAATAAGGTAAACTGAAGTCGAACTCCAGATCAAATATTTTATGTTGAGTCAATTTCAAGTTATGCATTATTTGAACTCGATTCAAATCGAATGCACCCTAGTATTTGCACTTCCTTTTACACGATTTAGACTCTGCAAAAAAATGGGAGTTGCGCTACTCTTTTTTTTTTGGGTTACTGTAATCCAGGAAGGTATAGAATACTTTAGTTTAGTACAGGGAAATGCTATATGCATATGGCTATTCCTCCCTATGCATATCTAAATGTAAGCGTACTAAACCACCAGCCATTTAAGACCCACCAATTGCCACATTAAGTAGTTTTTTAAAAATTTCAGACGGGTGTGATACGCACCCGTCTGATCCAATGGTGATTCAGTTCCCATTGACCTCTCTAGATCCAATTGGATCTTCCCCTTAGATTAAGATAGTTTAGGATTGACGAATGAAAAAAAAATGTAAGTGTACTACAATTTCTGCCTTGTATAATCCATACTGTATATACTATATATATTCTACATTTACTACTGCATATATTATTTTTTTTTATATATAAATGGAAAAGGAGGTGTTGGTGTAAATTTTTTTTATGGTACTTTATGTCCTTTCAACTAATATGTATTTCTTATTATTTTGTTTTTCAACTTATTTAGAGAACCTTAATATTTATTAGAGTGAATTGTACGAAATGTCACTAAACTATTTCAAAGTGCTGTTCTGGTCACTAAACTTTTTTATTACCGCGAAATGTCATTGAACTAGTAAATCTATACCGTTTTGGTTATTCCGTGTATTTGTGCCATCAGGAGAGATGGAAATCAACTTTTTGAGGGGTAAATTCGTCTACACAACCTTTTCCTTGAAACTCTCCACCATAAATCACTCTCAAATGTCAAACAACTCGCAAGTTCAATTAGGAAGTGCAAACCCTTATCCTGTAATAGATTTCTTCTGCAAATATGGAGTAGGAGGGACAATATACGAAGTTGCAATTTGCTGAGAATGTGTTGAAGTTTCATTGGAGGAATACCCAAGGAAAGAACTCCGACTTGCAATTTGCTGGGAATGTGTTGAAGCTTCATGAGAGGAAAAGGCAAGGAAACAACTCCGACCTGCTCTTATGGCAGTAAAACCAATTTGAAGACTTCATGGACTGATAGGAACCCGGCAAGGAGATATGTTGAATGTGCTAATGGCGAGATAAGTGTGTGAAGATATAGGAAATTCGTTAAATTAGGTTAATGTTTAATTGTTTAGACATTTATCGGCTAAAAAGAATTTGGATAATTTTTTTGTAGGTTGATGGCTGTGGTTATTGGAATTGGTATGATGAAGAAATGTGTGAGTGTTCGAAACAAGTCATACCCAGTCTTTTAAGAAGAATAAATAGATTGGAAACCGAGAACGAAACTTTGCGGCAACAAGTTCTCAAGTTGCAAAAGAAAGCTGAGAAACTGGAGGTTAAAGTAAAAAATCTGAAGGAGAAACTTGGAAGAAAGAATGGGAAAAAAATGGTCATTGTTCTTTTTGTTATAACCTGGACAATTGTTAATGCATCAATGTGGATTTGGGGCCCTAACAAGGGACAGAAGTTTGGAAGGCTGCAAATTGATGGCTACTAGAGTATTGTTGTACTTCAAATCCTAAACCAGTGCTGTCAAATGTTTTAATACACAGCGCATTTTTGTTGAGGTTGTAGTGTTGTTATATACACTTCATTTTGGTTGGTGTTGTTTACACCTTGGATGTTTGAGATTGTAATTTATGAATAAAAGACTGAAGTATTAGTTCCAACATATGGATGGTGCAAAAGAAAAGTAGCTCACAAATGCATCCATATAAAGCCAAATACAACAAAAGACCACTGGACCCATCAAAATGAGATTGAATATGCACACTTTTAAACAACTGCCTTACAAAAGAGATAATTGTCACTGTCATTCCAAACAACTGCCAACAAAGTTAGCCGTGTTTCACATGTAAATAATCTGGAATTGTCCTAGACATAGAATACATCCAAACAAAAGCTATGCAAACAAGTCCTTTAATCTGATCTTCCACTTCCACTTCTATTGCTCCTTGATGTTCCAGCCCATTTACCAATCTTGAAAGGAGGTTCTTTGCCCAAGTACTCATAATTGGTGTTGATACTTATCTTGTCAATTTCAGACAGCTTTCTCTTTGAATGGAGAGACTGTTTGTTAGCCGCTGTAGTAGACTGGTCGGCATCATTGATAGGCTTAAGTCTCCTCACCTATACACAAGTACAATAAATATTAACGAAAGCTATTTGCCATAGTAAAATTAAAAACAAAATTAGAAATAAATTTTACACCTACAAGTGTTTTAGTCTTTCTAATCTGCTGCTTTTTCGTACTATTAGTGGCAGCTTGTGCATTACTTTCAGCATATGAACCAGTGTCATTATATGAAGTAGCTTGCTCTTCAGCTCCATGTGGCTGAGAATTGGCACAACTTGAAGAATATCCTTGAACTTCCACATGAACAAAATCAGGCTCCTGAGAATTAGCTCCATGTGCTATGCTTGAGCCATTTTTGGTGCCTTTTAACTTTCTAGCATGTTTGGGAACTGGAGCAGGTTGACTGCAGCCTTCACCTCCATTATTTTCTGAAACACTTTTGCAGCATTGTGGCCTGCCTGACCACATCTTCTACAGTGCATGATCACATGCTTTCTTAATTTTTGCACATTATCCGTTCCCACATGAACACTACTTCTATTTTCAGAACTATCTTTTCTTCTTGCTTTCTTGGGCCTACCAGGTTGGACACATGCAAGTGGAGGATCTAATATGGGAATATCACTCTGAGGCCATAGAGACTTTCCACTAATTGGATATAGTACATTTTCATATATTTGAAAGAATAGATCTCTACTATAACACTGATCGGCATAGTCATTTGGGTTCCTACTAATTTTTAAAATGGCAGAAATTGCATGGCAGTAGGGGAGCCCACTAATTTGCCACAACCTGCATGTACATGTTCTGTCTCTTAAGTACACAGCAAATTGTTCCCCTCTAGGTCTCCTAACCTGGTAACCCCCTTTCCCATTTGATATTGGCTTCCACTTCCTAGAAAACTTTTCCCTCTCCTCAATCAAAGCCTTTATTGCTGGTCCCACAGGATCACTACATTTTCTCATCCAATACACCCTATTTGATATTATTTCCATTATGAATTGTCTAATCCACTCAATCATCCCAATCACTGGCAACTCTCTAGCATTTAATATATGAAAATTAAATGTCTCTGATAAATTATTAACTAGCATGTCAGATTTCATGTGAAGTGGAAAAAAAGCCTTACACCAGTGATGAGGTGGTGTAGCACTCTTGACCCACGCGTGAGCTTGCTGGTCATATGCTCTAAGCTCTTCCAATGCTGCCTCATAGAACTCTACTGTTGATGCTGCTGCAATGCTCCAGAATTTTTCTTTAACCACTTCACCAAGGTGTTTTTCTTGTTGTATATAATATCTATGGCCAACTTCTGGTAATAACTCCAGCAGTGCACTATCAAGACCCTATAAAAGAGTTCTAAGTTTAGTCACTTGCAAAAATTATCCTGTACAATACATGCTATAAGGATAAAGAACAGTACTCCTAACCTTCTATTGGTCTGAAATAAAAGTGTATTCACTGCTAGTTGCTGGTATTTCTAGATCATTAATCAGTAAACTCAAAAACCAAAGCTATTGTTCCCGAGCCTCCTTCTCAACAACTGCGCAGGCTAATGGCCACCAACCATTATTTGGATTTGCCCCAATAGCAG